AGAAAAGGACTCTGAGGGGTGGAGAGAAGGCAGACTAGCGAGGGACTTCAGAACCTGGGGAAAGATGGTGGGATGGTGGGGAGTCCCTGGGCTTCCTCTTTGCTTCATACATCCTAGACTCAGAGCTGAAGAAGCCAGCAACTCAGAAACACCAAAAGGACACAGACAAAACAAGCCCCAACACGTCTGCTCTCTTCAGCCGATGTATAGAGAGTCCTTGTCATAAGAGTAATGGGAAGATACCGAAGCGTTTAGGTAGGGGCGTGTTTGTTTGTGTGTGTGTGTGTGTGTGTGTGTTGATCAGATTTGGCTTTGCAAAAGTCACTCTGGCTGGCTGCCTGCCACAGGGGGCATGGAATGGAAGCAGGAATTGGGCAGGGGGAGGTAACTAAGAGGCAAAATCTACAGGAGATGTGGGGGTGAAGGAAAGAAGGGTGAGAGGGAAGATGAAAGGGATGCACAGGTCTGAGCAGAGGAAGATGGGACTTTAGGACAGGACCAGGTTGGTAGAGAGGGGTCATGGCCTTGGGCTTGGCAGTAGAGGGCAGAGGTGACTTTTGTCCCTAGTGGACATGTGGCTCCCTCTGGTCCTATCTCAGCCCCTCTCTGTGCCCCTCTGAGGTTGTGGCATCTCTTACGGTCCAAAGCACACCCATATCCCATCCTCCCTTCTGAAAGACACTCTCAGACATAATCTGTCACCCTCATCCCTTCTCTGGCCATGACACACACCATCTCCACTGTACTATCAGAAAATTAGAAGCCCAGAAAGCATAAGGGACTTGCCTGAGTTTACACAACAAGTGGGGAAAGCAACCCAGGCTTCTCACCCTTGAGCGTGGTGCCCAATGACCCAATCCTGAAAAAGGAAACCAACCCTAATATTTAAGGGAACTCTCACAGGTTTCCTTATTACTTATTGGGCATTCGAAAGCTGCCCTGGGCCTCAAACCAACCCAAGATCTCCTCCAGCCAGGTCTGTGCCTCAAAACACTAGGGTATGTCTGAGTCTAGAACTCGAGGCACAGGGAAGGGGCAGCAGAGAGCTGCAGGTACCTGATGCACCCATGTCATTGGGAATGGGGACATGGTCTGGGCAACAGAGAGGAGGTAGCGAGAGCCGGAAGTCATTTGCTGGGTTGGGGATAGGAAGTGGTCCAGCAGCACTGGACCAGATGTTGGTCCAGACTGTGGGTAGGACTACTTACCCTGGCGTTTGACAATCATCCCTGACGGGCAGAGAGTGTGGGTGATGCAGCGGGCACAGGTGTTGGTGACTGATGTGGCACAGAACATTCCAGGTCGACATTCACAGACACGGGGGGAGTTCCTTGTGCAGGGCATCTTCTCCACGAGGTCATCTAAAGACAGAGCAAAGGGCCATGGGAAAGATAAAGAGGTGACGAGGAAAGCGGAATCAGGGAACCTCCTGGGGTGTGGTAGAGCAAAGTGTTTGCCTTGGGGCTGTCCAACAAGAAAATAAATACTCATTTGACTGTTCCATCAGGCAGGTCTTCCAGCATGCTCAAACACTTATGCTGAGTGAAAGAAGCCAGACAAAAGAGGGTGCATGATACATGATTCCACTGATGTCAAGCTCTAGAAAACACAAACTATTCCATGGTACAGAAAGAAGACCAGTGGTTGCCTGGGAATGGGGACTGGAGTGGTGAACGGTAGGACAAAGGCGCCTGAGGAAATTTGGGGGGTTGACATGTCCATTATCTTGATTATGGTGATGGTTTACAGGTGTGTATATGTGTATGGAAACTTATCAAATTGTACACTTTAAGTACAAGCAGTCAATTATGTGTCCATGCTATCTCAGATGTTGGAGGAGTCCCATGAGCAGGTGGTCATCTAAGACACAGGGAGAAGGAGGAGAATGGGGAGGCTGAAGAAAGGGAGGAGCCTCAGGGACGGTCCAGAATGCAAACTAAGCAGCTGCTGTGGCCCGTTGCTAGCAGGGTGGCTGTCATGCTCAGCTCTTCTTTGCAGAGTGCGCCTGTGATGAGGGCAAAATGGTGGGCTGGGCCCCTGGTGCAGGCTCCATGTCCCAGCCCACATCCCTGGTGATCAGAGAAATGGTTTAAAAAATAAATGAATGTTCCAACTTAAAAAAAAAAAAAACTTGACAAAGGATTTGACTAGACATTTCTCCAACAAAGATATGTAAATGGCCAAGAAGCACATGAAAAGATGTTCAACATCATTAGCCATCAGGGAAATGCAAATTAAAAGCACGGTGAGGTACCACTTCACACCCATAAGGACAGCTATGATTTAAAAAAGAAAAAATAACAAGTATTGATGAGGATGTGGAGAAAATGGAACACTTGAACTTAGCTGGTGGGAACAAAAAATGGTGCAGCCACTGTGAAAACCAGTCTGGCAGTTCCTCGAAAGTGAAACATAATTGTTGTTGTTGTTGTTATGTGCCGTCGAGTCAAACCC